ACTTGATGGCACCTAACAACAACAACAACAACAATAGGTAGGCTTACCATGCTTGAAATCTGGACTTTGAAAAAAACCATGAAGAACATTCTGAATCTGTAAAACAGAAAAGAGATCATACAATACTTCTTAATTACCACATATATACTACCTACCTCTTTTAGACAGATTAAAAGTAATCTATGATTTTTCTATTTAAGTCAACAGCAATCCTTTTAAATCAGGGGAAGAAATAATAACTCATATTTAATTTCTAGAATACTTTAAGGTGTGTAAGACAGACTCAAAACCTGAGGTGTTGGGCATAACTCAACTGGCTGACCCAGGTCCAGAGTGCTGTTGTTAGATGCCTTTGAGTCAAATTCAACTCATAGCAACCATATATATGTATACTAGAACAAAACTGACCAGTCCTGTACTATCCTCACAACCTTTCATAAATTTGAGGCAAATGTTGCAGCCACTGTGTCAATCCATCTTGTTGGGAATCTTCCTCTTTTCCACTGGCCCTCTACTTTATCAAGCATTATCTCCCTTTTTAGGGACTGTTCCCTTCTGATAACATATATAAATTATGTGAGATGAAGTCTTACTATCAACACTTCTCAGGAGTATTCTGGCTGTACTTCTTCCAAGACAGATTTGTCCATTTTTTTTCTGGCAGTGCATGGTACATTCAATATTCATCACCATCATTATTATTCAAAGACATAAATTCTACTCCAGTTTTTTTCATTCATTGTTCAGTTTTCCTGTGCATTTGAGACAACTGAAAATACCATGGCTTGAGTCAGGGGCACCTTACTTCTCAAGGTGACATCTTTGCTCTTTAATGCTTTAAAGAGGTGTTTTACAATAGATATGTGTAGTGGTTATGAATTGGGCTGCTAACCTCAATGTCAGCAGTTCAAAACTACCAGCTGCTCTGTGGGAGAAACAGGAGGCTTTCTGCTCCTGTGAAGATTTACAGCCTCGGAAACCCTGTACAGGGTTGCTATAAGTCAGAATCAACACGGCACACCACCACCACCACCACCACCATGCCCAATACAACACATTGTTTGATTTCTCGACTGCTGCTTCCAGGGGTAATGATTGTGATTTCAAGTAAAATTAAATCCTTGACAACTTCAATCTTTTCTCCATTTATCATTATGTTTATTGGTCCAGTTGTGAGTTTTGTTTTTAAACATTGAATTTAATCCATTCTGAAGGCAACTGTCCTTGACTATTATCAGTAAGTGCTTCAACTCCTCTTTGATTTCAGTAAGCAAGGTTGTGCCATGTGCATATCTCAGGCTGTTAATGATCCTTTGTCCAATTCTAATGCCACATTCTTCTTCATATAATCCAGCTTCTCTGATATTTGCTCAGTATACAGATTGAGTAAGTATGGTGAAAGGATACATACCCTGACACACACCTTTCCTGATTTTAAACCATTCACTATCCTCTCATTCTGTTTGAATTATATTGTCTATTGGTCTCATGGAAGCAGCAGTCAAGAGATCAGACGACGTATTGCATTGGGCAAATCTGCTGCACAGGAACTTTTTAAAGTATTGAAGAGCAGAG